GGAGTCGGCGAACTTCATCATCAACGAGGGCACGGGCTGCGTGGACAGCGGCTGCTCGAAGGGCATCATCGGGCAGGACACCCTCAGGGTCTACCGCGAGAAGTGGCAAGCTACTGGTGGGGTGGAGGACGACTTCACCACGGTGCGCGACAAGACGGACACCATCTTCAGGTTCGGCAATGACGACACGGAGCGGTCCAACATGCGCGTGTGGCTGCCGGCCTGGGTGGGAAGCCACTTCATCAAGGTGTGCGTCAACGTGGTGCGTGGAACGACGCCACTGCTGCTCTCCAAGCGCTGGGCGAAGGACCTCGGTGGGCATCTGAACTTCGCCACCGACGAGATGCACTTCCAGAAGCTCAACGAGACGATCAAGCTCGAGACGTCTGGCGACTCCGAGGGCCACTACGTGATGGACCTGTGCACGGCCCCGGTGGCTGGCGTGCGGCCGGCAGCCCGGCCGAGCTGGCAGACGGAGGAGGTGCAGGTGTCCAGCGCCACGGTGGAGCTCCCGGCGGTGGAAGTGGAGAAGGTTCCACCCCAGCCGGAGGCAGTGACCGACGATGACAGTCTGGACGGCGCGAACGATTCTCTGGGCGATGGCGCGCTTGGGGAGACGGAGCGCCCGACGACTGCCAGTCCGACCCCGGCAGAGACGGATCGGCCGACTGAAGATGTGCCAGAGCATGCGCTGATGACGGCTCAGGAGGCCCAGGTGGAGGATCTTCCCGAGGTGAAGGCTGTGACGCTGACCAAGAAGCAGCGCCGGACACTGATGGCGGCGGCGGCGCAGGCCCGGCTGAACAACCGTGCGGACGTGGCAGTGCTGGAGCTGTTCTCCCCTTTGCGGCTGGCCCAGGCCGCCGCGATGGCAGGCATGTCGAGTCTGGGGGCCTTCGACCTCAAGACGGGCTGGGACCTCGACGACCCGGAGGTGCGGCTGGATGTGGAGAGCATCATTGAGCACGAGAAGCCATGGCTGGTGCTGATGAGCCCTCCGTGCCGGATGCTGTCGATCCTCCAGAACCTCACGGGCTGCCCGAAGGACCCGGTGAGGTGGATCCGCGACTACAAGCGGGCGATCGGCTACGTGGAGTGGTGCATGCGGGTGGCGGATATGCAGACCCGCGGCGGCAGGCTGTTCCTGTTCGAAGCGCCGGCGCGGGCAAAATCCTGGCAGGTCAAGGCACTGGTGGCGCTCGTGGACCGTTACCGGGAGCAGTTTTACCTGGTCACCAGTGCGGCGTGCGAGGCTGGCCTGAAGGAGCCTGGGACCGACCTCTACTTCAGTAAGCAGTGGCAGTTCCTCACCAACGACGCCACGCTGGCCGAGGCAGTGGAGGCCAAGTGTCGCGGCGGCCACCAGCACACGGTGACGCTGGGCACCATGCGCGGAGGTACGAAGAGGAGCGGTTACACGGAGACGTACCCGGAGGGCTTGCTGGTGCGAGTGGTCGAGGGTGCGCTGGCCGCCCTCGACACGAGGGATGCCGTGAGCTTCATGGCGGAGGCGTTGGCGACTGAAGGGGACTTGCCGAAGCTGACGGAGGACAACATCAGGACCGCCCTGATGCGGCTCCACAAGAACCTGGGGCATCCTGGCGCGGACACGCTGGTGCGGGTGCTGAAGAACGGCGGCGCCTGCGAGCAGGCGCTGAAGATCGCGCGCCGGCTCACCTGCGATGTGTGTGACATGAACGTCCAACCCAAGGTGCTGCAGCCAGCGGCGCCGGCGAAGGATGTCCCACCGCTGCACGCGATCAGCCTGGACGTCAAGCACTTCCCCGGGTGGATCGGCGGCCCGGTCACCGTCAAGGCGCTCAACGTGGTGGACACGGGGTCGGAGCTGCAGCAGGTGGAGCCCTTCTTCGAGCAGGAGACCTCGGCGGTGTTGCGGAGGCTCTACCACCACACTTGGGTGCAGCACTACCATGCGCCGGCTCGGGTGAAGGTGGACAGTGGCACGACGAACCTCGGCTCTGACATGATGGAGGGCTTCGAGAAGGATGGCACCGCCATCGTCGACAGAGCGGCTGGAGACGCGCACGAGCAGAACGCCGAGGCAGAAGTGCACGGCCAGTGGTTCGAGCGCATCCTCAAGAAGGTCATCGCCGAGCAGACGATCGACAACCAGGCGGACTGGCTGGAGGCCGTGGCAGCCTGCTGTGAGGCCAAGAACCGGCTGACCAGGCGATCCGGCTACTCCCCGCTGCAGTGGGTGTTCGGCCGGGACCCGCCGCTGCCGGAGACGCTGAAGCCGATCGGCAATGACCCGGTGTGCAACTCGGCGGCGATGCACGACGAGGAGTTTGCCCGCCGGGCGGCGGTGCGGCAAGCGGCGCGCATGGCTACCGTGGCCCTGAAGGACGACAGGGCCATGAGGGCAGCCCTGGATGCGCGGCCGAGGGTTCGCCAGGTCTTCAAGGCCGGTGACTTCGTGGCCTTCTGGAGGCGCGGCAAGGGCAACTCCAAGAAGGCGGCCAAGGCCAGATGGCGAGGGCTGGCGCGCGTGGTGGGCAAGCTGAGGGACAACTACATCGTGTCCTTCGGCGGTCAGTGGCTCTTGACGGCGCCCTGGCAGCTGCGCCCAGGTACGCGGGAGGAGATCGTGGCGGCGGATCTGGAGGAGGACCTTCTCTCTCCGGAAGCACTGGCGCGGGCCTCGGCGAGGAACCAGCAGCCGGGCTACATCGACATCACCGAGGAGGAGGCGCCGCCTGGAGCGGAGATCACGTTCGACCCGGTGATCGAGGACCCGCGACCGGTGCCGACGGCACCAGAGCTGGAGAACCTGGAGGAGAACGCAGAAGAGCCACCGGCGCCGGTGGCGCCGGACAACCCGAAGGGGTATGTCCGCTCGGAGGTGGAGCGGCTCGAGAGTCGGGTCAGGAGCCGGTCGCCTCCAAGGGCATCGACCGGTGCCCGAGGGTCGGCGGACCCGGTGGCGGAGGCGCTGCAGGACGCCACGCCGGCCGAGGTCGAGGGGCGGCGACGCATCAGGGTGAAGGAACCGCACCCCGAAATTCCAGAACCACCGGCTAAGGTGATGAGGCCCACGGAGACCCTCTTCGTGGCTCGCGAAGATGTGAAGGTGGACGAGGTGCTGTTGGCGGAGGAGTGGCAGGTATTCTATGTCAACCAACCACCCGGGGGTCTTCCCGGGATACCAACGGAGTGCCTCCTCCGGCTGGAGGTGGCCGGTGACGATGGCGTGGAGCTGGAGGACTGTTTGCTCGCGAAGGGGCGCAAGGAGATCTACGAGTCTAAGGCGACGCCGGAGTTGAAGCAGCGCATCCACGATGCCAAGGTCACGGAGTGGAACACCATCCACGACGAGAAGCGTGCGGTGACGGTGATCTCTCCTGAGGAGTCTCGGCACATCAAGTCGGTGAGCCCCGACCGGGTGCTCAAGTCGCGCTTTGTCTTCGTCGAGAAGGATGACGGCGTGGTCAAGGGCCGGCTGACGGTCAAGGGGTTCGGCGACCCGGACTTGCTGAAGCTGGTGGAGCGCGGCGACACGGAGGCCCCGACGGTGAGCCAGAACGCGAGGGCGATGGCTCTGCAACTCCTGGCGAGCAATCGCTGGCGGATGCAGATTGGCGACGTCAAGGGCGCCTTCCTCGAGAGCGACGCGCTGGACAGGCCCGAGGGGCCACTGTACATGCAGCAGCCGACGGGCGGCATCCCGGGGGTGCATGCCGACTCCATCGTGCGCATGGACCTGCCGCTGTACGGGCTGAACGATGCGCCGAAGCGGTGGTTCCGCAAGTTCGTGAAGGTGGCGCGAGGGGCGGGTCTTCAGCAGTCAAGGCTGGACCCCTGCTTCTTCTTCTGCCGGGGTCCTGATGGGACCCTCGAGGGCCTGCTGGTCATCCACGTGGACGACGTGATCACTGGCGGCGACGGCGAGCGGTACGAGAAGATCATCAAGGAGCTGCGGACCAGGCTGCCGTTCCGCAAGTGGAGGATCGGCGACGGCGAGTTCTGCGGCGCGCAGCTGTGGCAGGACGAGCAGTTCAACATCCACATCGGCCAGGAGAAGTTCGCGAAGGGCATGCGGCTGCTGAAGGTGGACCGCACGGCCCCTGACGAGCGTGAGCTGACGCCTGCCGAGGTCTCGGCCTGCAGGCGCGCGCTGGGCGAGGGCAATTGGCTCCAGTCCCAGACCCGACTGGACATAGCTGTGCAGGTGAACATGGCCCAGCAGCAGATGGGCCGCCCGACCGTGGCCACGCAAAAACTCATCAATCAGATGGTCCGCCGAGCGCGCCAGTTCGCGGATCTGGAGATCGTCATCAGATCCATCCCAGTTACCAACCTCACCCTCATGGCCCATACCGATGCGGCGTTTGCGAACGCCACGCGAGAAGGGACACAGGGAGGATACGTCATAGCAGCGGTGGACCGGGCGGTGATGAACGATTCTGAGAGCGAGTGGTCACCACTGGTTTGGAAGTCGAGCCGGTTGAAACGGGCGGTAGCAGCGACATTAGCGGGGGAAGTTCAAACATTGGCGGACGGGCTTGGGCACATGGAGTGGATGATGAGTATTATGCAGGAGGCGATCGACCCGAACTTCGAGCCGACACGGAGAGAGGAGTCTTTCTCGAAACGACCATCAGTGTGTGTGATTGACTGTAAATCGGCGTACGACAACATCACGGGGTCTGGGGCACCGGTGAAGGACAAGCGAACTGCGATCGACGTGGTCATCGTGCGAGAGTCGCTAGCTCGAGTATCGACGACATTGCGATGGGCTCCGACGACATGTCAGTTGGCCGACGGGTTTACGAAGGACGAGGCGAGACCGATTGATCTGCTGCGAGCGGTGATTCGGTCCGGGCGGTATCAGCTCTTCGACGAGTCGATGCACCTGCAGAGAGCGGCAGAGGAGCGCAGGAGACGGCAGGAGCGTGGCATTGCAGCAAGCGCGACAGCTGCCACGGCTCAGACAAGGAGTTCACCCTCAGTGCATTCGGCCGGGGTTGGCGCCCAGACCCATGAAGTTCGCGGCCCGTTGCGACGTGCTGGCGATCCGCTGCCTTCTCGAGGTGCTGGCGGGCCCGGAGAACATGATCAACAACAGGGCCACGAGCAAGGGGCGCGTGGAGGCCAGCGTGCTGTTGGGGCGGCGCGCGGCCGGGCGCATCACGGCAACCTACACGGTCAGCACGGGCAACATCCAGGTGCAGGGCCCAGCGGCGGTGCTGGAGGAGGCGATGGACAACCTCCAGGCCCTGGACAGCATCTTCCACCATCTGCTGACGGTGGGCACGGAAGGAGTGCCGGCGGCGCCGGTGGGGCTGGAGAATGTCGTGGACGGCTTGCCGGAGGAGCCGTACACCTGCTACGTGGAGGCAGCCAGCGAGCTGGAGCAGGAGGACACGGTCAGCGTGACCAGCGCGTGGAAGCCGTTGCAGACGGTTCCAAGCGAGGAGGGCTACACGACGGCGATCGAGAAGATCATGAACGAGGGGCTGGAGCAGCTGAAGGACTACCCGACGTGGCGCGAGAAGTTCGTGCGCACCATGGTCGAGAGGTTCGGGGCAGCCCTGCCTTCTTCCTCGGACTGGGAGACGGTCTCGTCTCCAGGTGGAGCATACACGTCACCGAAGTTGGATGACGAGGACATGGGCAACGGGGACACGAGGGGCGCCCGCACTACCTTGCGCAGTGCGTCGCGGCGTTCGGCCCGGTAGACGGCCAGTGGGGTGAGGCTGTGAGCGGGCTTAGCTGCAGAGGCGACGAATGCCTGCTCGTCTTATCCATTTTCAATTTTCACTCGTAGAGAGTGGCAGCAGTGACAGACGAGCAGGCTCTCCTTCTCTTTCTCTTTCTCCCTCGTCTTTCTCTTTTCTCCGCAGCCTTCCAGGCTCTGGCACCTTGGCCCAGGGAGGCCAGACGGCCCCTTTCCTGCCGCACAGGAGTGCGGCGATACCAACAGAGGCAGGCGCGGGCGCGCCTGAGAAACCATCATCCTGGCTAGTGCTGCTGCTCTGCTGCTGTGCTGCGATCAGCAGGAGGGGAGGGGATCCATGGGTGGATTTTTCGGGAGATTCTGCTACGTCAGGTTTCCCTCCAATGCTCAAGCGGCTCCAGATGGCAACGCGTCGTCTCCCAGATGCAGTGCCGCTTCACATTTTATCTGCACCACGAGGGCCCACAAGGAACCGGCCCGGTGCTGACATCAGTTGAGTCGGTGCCCGTTGACTCGCCCACAACGCAGATATGAGAAGCCACGTGTACACGTTCTGATGAGGTCTCAGTCGTTGCAGCTTTCAACTGTGCCGGACTATGCAGCGCGATGCCGTTCCACTCTGTCGGGCGATCGTTGCCGTTTCAAATTGTTTTGGAGTTGCGTGAATGGTTCCGCCCTGCTCTGTCAGGAGTCAATGCGGTCACTCAAGACGCAGCTCCAGCAGACAATCCCACCAGTGGCAATGCAGATGGGTGCACCAGGGTCGAAGAACGAGTGGGCGGATAGGGGGATATGTCCGTCGTATAGAGGACAATCAGGCACCTGTTGATGATAACACCACGTTCGATGGATTGTGGTTGATGGTGATTGTCGAGGGCATGTGCGATGGGGTGGACGGTTTAAGGAGTAAGCGCAAGAGGTGTTCAGAAACGTGAATCACATAGACCAGACATGTAGCACGATATTTGGGCAGGTGGCAATGATCACATGTCGACCATGACAGAATGAAGATTGGCAGGCAAGGTAGGGAGAACAGAAAACGAGATAAGACCAGCATGCATCAACATCGCAGGGTGACGGGACGAGAGTGTAAGGACGACGGGCAAAGGTACGAGCCGCAGGTGGATATTTAGAACACCACTCGAAGCCATTAACGGCGCAGGATGTGAGCCTACACGTGCAGCATGCTTAAAACAGGGTTCAGTAAAACCGAGCTACCTGTGGAAAGGATACGCGAATTCCAACATCTGATGTGCGCAACAGTTTGCGGAATATGGGAATATGCTGAAGAACGGGTCCATTGGGTCTTCGTTTTGACATGAGCAAGATTATCGTCTCTTCCTTCCTCCCACCCTTCTCCTCTCTCCTGTTACCTCCTGCCTCCTACAACCTGCGTTAGTGTCTCCATTCCTCCGGAATGCGCTACTGTCGATGCCACGCGGATCAAAGTCTCGATCTCGCTGACCCCCAGAGGCTGCGAACTGCGAAACCGTCGTCACCTTCGTGGGCTTCGGGAAGGCCAAGCGGAGTGGAAACACCACTGGGTTTCAGATTAGACTTCGCTGTCTTTGCGGGCTGTGAGCTGCGAAATTGTCGCCGCTTTCGTGAACTGCGGGGAGGCCCAGCGGAGTGTGTAAACCACGAGGATTCAAATCAGACCTCGCCGTCCCCTGGGCCTGCGAACTGCAAGACTGTCGTCACTGTCGTGAGATGCGGGCAGGCCCAGTGAAGTGGGTACATCACTCGGGCTCAAATCAGATTAGACCTCGCCGTCCTTTTGGCGGGTGCGAGCTGCGAGACTGGTCGCCACTCTCATAAGCTGCGGGGCGGTCCAGCGGAGTGGAAACACCACGGGGATTCAGACTAGACCTCGCCGTCTTTGGGGGCTGCGAGCTGCGAAACTGTCGCCGCTTTCGTGAACTGCGGGGAGGCCCAGCGGAGTGGGTATGCCACGGCAATTTAAATCAGATCTCGCTGTCCCTCGGGGCTGCGAACTGCGAGACTGTCGTCATGTTCGTGAGTTGCGGGGAGGCCTGGTGAAGTGGATACATCATTCGGGCTCAGATTAGACCTCGCCGTCCATCGGGGGGCTGAAAGCTGCGAGACCGTCGCCACTCTCCATGAGCTGCGGGAGGCCCAGCGGAGTGGGCACCTCACGGGACTCAGTTTTGACCTCACCGTCTTTTGGGGACTGTGAACATCGAATCTGTCGGCACGTTCGTGAGCTGTTGGGAGGCCCAGCGGAGTGGGAACACGATCCGGATTCAGATTTATTATCGCTGTTCCCTGGGGGCTGCTAACTGTGAGATTTTCGCCACTTTCGCGAGCTACGGGGGGGAGGCCAGTGGATTGGGTACATACCTCCTCGGACTCAGATTAGAATCCGCAGGCCGTCCCCTGGTGCTGCGAACTTTGAGACTGTCGCCACTTTAAACCTTTCCTGACATGAACGGGAAGCGCGTGAAAGGGAAGAGTTGCGCAAGAACTTGCAGCATCATCGCGATCAAATGTAGTACAGGCGAGCTCTCCGAACGCTCACAAGGGATACGTATGGACACGCGCCCCCCGAACGTTCACAAGCATATTCCTGAGTATCCTCACCACTCCTCCGCATGAGGAAGACGACGGCGAAGACGACGACCGGGGAAGAAGGGATAGGAGGAGGAGGAGGAGGCGGAGGAGGAGGGGAGGAGGAGGAGGAGCAGAAGAAGAGGTGAGTAGGAGGAGGGGTAGGAGGACGAGGAAGAGGAGGAACAGGAGCAGGAGGAGGAGGCAAAGGAGGAAGAACAGGAGGAGGAGGAGTTGGAGGAGAAAGAGGAGGAAGAGGAAGAGGAGAAGACCGACGAGGACGAGGACGAGGAGGAGGAAGGAGAAGTAGTAAGAAGGCGAGGAGGAGGAGGAAGATGAGGAAGAGGACGATGAGGAGGAGGAGGAAGAGGAGGAAGAAGAACAGAAGGAGGATGAGGAGGAGGAGGAGAAGGAGAAGGAGAAGGAGGAAAAGGAGGAGGAGGAGGATGAGGAGGAGGAGGAAGAGGAGGATGAGGAAGAGGTAATTGTGGGAGGATGTCTCGAGCGAAACGCTGATTGTTCAACGAAAGTGTGTAAAACACATTGTTTTTTTCAATATGTTCGCTTCTTGGGCCATCTTGGGGGTCATCCGAGATCGCTCCGAAAAGATGCCTTGCAAGAGCTCTGTCGACATTTCATGGTTTCGAGGATGTCTCGGGCGAAACGCCCATTTTCGAGGATCCGAGAATTAGGCGAGCGATTTCGAGATCCCGATTGTTGGAGGATGTCCCGAGCGAAACGCCCATGTTTAGCAACCGACGTCTGAACATACGACCCCCAACTTCTCGATTGTGTGAGGATGTCTCGAGCGAAACGAAAGGACAGAGCTGCGCAAGAACGTGCAGCATCATCACGATAAAATGTAATGTAAGCGAGCTCTCCGAACGTCCACAGGGGATACCTACGGACACGCGCTCCCCGAACGTCCACAAGGAGAGTCCTGATTATCCTCCTCACTTCTCTGTACGCCTCCAATGTCGTCCGTCTATCCCTCACTTATCTGATGTGTTCGAAGGCCCGTCCGAAGGCACACACACGCACACACACAGGAGGAAGAGGCTCTGGTACGTTTTAGAAGACCGCCTCAAAAGCATTTGCAAGGGGGATGTCTCGAGCGAAACGCCTACTCATCTGATGTGTTCGAGTAGGAGGGGGGCGAAGGAGATGGAGGAACGTGAGGAGCAGACGGCCCTCACGACTGCCCAACAGAGCCTCACAATACGATCATATGCAATAACTTAGCATAGAGGAAGTATCATATACAAGGACCATCGTACACGAGGAAGATCATTTACAACGAAGGGGCCGCCCCCCCGCCGTCTCGCATATAGGCGACTGCACCGCCTCTACTCCCGGGGGTCCCTGGGTGGCCATAGCGTATCCCTGGGATTGTCCAGGGCTTCAATGACGGCCCAGGAAGCCCACCCAGGCCACCAAGATAGCCCAGAGTCGCTCCAAGGCGGCCCAAGATGGCCTCCAGACCGCCCAAAAGGCCTCCAACACGGCCCAAGAGGCCTCCAAGAGCCCTGCCAAGAGACATCATATACAAGGAATGTCATAGACAAGGGCGATCATATACAAGAACGTAATATAGAGGAAGTATCATATACAAGGACCACCCGTACCATATACAAGGACCAAATATCATATACAAGGTTATCCAAGAACACCCCGAAACTATGTCTCATAGCAGCTCTTTCGACATCCCATTTTTCCGAGGACGTCTCGAGCGAAACGCTGATTTGTCCAACGAAAGTGTTTAAACCACATGGGTTTTTCAATATTTTTTGCCTTTGGGGCCATCTTGGGGGTCATCCGAGATCGCTCCGAAAAGATGCCTTACAAGAGCTCTGTCGGCATCCCATTGTTTCGAGGATGTCTCGGGCGAAACGCCGATTTTCGAGGATCCGAACATTAGGCGAGCGATTTCGAGATCCCGATTGTTGGAGGATGTCCCGAACGAAACGCCCATGTTTAGCAAACGGCGTCTTAAGATACGACCCCCAACTTCACGATTGTGTGAGGATGTCTCGAGCGAAACGCTCGTTTTTGGGAACCTATCTTGACATGAACGGGAAGCGCGTGAAATCGAAGAGCCTGGCAGGAACGTGCACCAACATTGATGTCGCATGTCGCCTAGGCGCTCTTCCCGACCGTGCACAAGGGGTACCAGGTGGAGTTCACTACCCGCGCAAGTTCAGACGTGGCCCTCACCCGAACTCCCTAAAATATACCAGATCGGGTTCACTAGCCGCGCAAGTTGAGACGTGGCGCTCACCCGAAACGTACGGAAAGAATAAGATTCTGCAAGGAAAGATGAAAACGCGAAATACCGCGAGATACATGTACGTGCAAGGATCTCTCCGATAGTACAGACTGAGACCGGATGAGCCGAACAGTTATAACATATGTGGACGGCGGGCGGGGGCTGATTCCCGCGGAGGATCAGGGCCAACACCAGCTAGAGTTCACTCCCCGCCTGAGTTCAGCGACGCTACTAACTGACATGGGCAGCCAGCTCCACCTGGCACCCCGCGTTGAATCGGTGAGAGATGAACTCGCGCGGAGAGTGAACTGAACCTGCTGTGGTGTAATCACCAGCGTAATGGTCTGCAGCCCCTGACGCGTAATGGTCTGCACCCCCAGGCACGGTGGCGGGATGGGCCGAAGGCCATTAGATCCGCCGCCCCCTGCTTGCAGGGGTGCACGGCGTGCTGGACGATTCAGGTTTTGGTTTTGGTTCTTTTTCTAAAAGAACTCCCCAGTGGGCTCCGGCACGTCCCGCCGGGGTCCCGGGAGGAAGCCGAAAGGACCTCAATCCGGAAACAAATCCTCCAAAAAACGGCCGTTTCGCTCGGGACATCCTCAAAAAATCGCGAAGATGGCCCAAGATGGCCTCCAAGTCCGCCCGAGATGGTCCAAGACGGCCTCCAAAACGGCCCAAGAGAGTCCAAGACGGCCCAAGACGGTCCAAGAGGTCCTCCAGGAGAGTCCGAAGAGGCCAAAATCATTGATTTTTCCTTGGTTTTTGAAGGATTCTGGCATTTGCGCCTTTTCGGCTCTCCGACGGCTCGAGACGGCCCAAGAAGCCCCCAAGATCGCCCAAGAGGCCCCCAAGAGAGCCCCATGATGGCCCAAGTGGCCTCCAAGATGGCCCCTAGAGGGCCCCAAGAGGGCCCAAGAG